GGCTGAGTCAGCACAGCCTAGGACAGGGAACCTGTGAACACAGACACAATATAGTGAAGGACAAAGCCAGGGGGCTGTGGCATAGGGATCTCAATCGGAAGATAATGGCCCAGATTATGGGTCTGCCTTGGGCCTCTAAAGACTGTCCCTAACTGTATATTGAAGGAGAAGCAGGAGGAGAAGAGGAGTCTAGGCCATGGTGGATACAGCCCCTTTTTAGTCCTCACCTCTGTGGTTGGGCTCCCTAGACCTCTCTTATAACAGCCTCACTGGTTGTATACAGGAGGGGCAGCTCATGCAAATGTTCTCTCATCCTCTGTCACTCCCACATGGGCACTCAGTGTCTGGGTCCCTGATCCAGGAAAGTTTGCATGGTGCACTAATTTGCCTAGTAAGTGAACTTAATAGGAACCAACTGATGATTCATACCCAGGCTTCTGTGCGTGAGAGTCTGCCAGGTCTAGAGGGACTTGTGTACCAAGTCACCAAGGAACCAAAGGGCCCATCCCTGAGACCTCAAGTCAGTTGAGGACTGCCCAGCTATAATTTATCTCCTGTGAACACTCTTGCCCTTGGGATAGTCTCATCTTCCCATCTGCTGGTCTCAAACAAACATTTCATAACGGACCAAATTCATCTCCACTTTGTTTCTTGAATGCCTGTCTATATTACTTGAATGAAATATCTAGCTAGGACAATGGAGGTGTAGTCCTGATGTAGCCATCACTGACACCTTCTTCTGTGGGTGCTGAACTAGTGAGCAAGGCAAACATAGAAACATGACTCAGAAGAGCCTTCAAACAACTCTGAATCTGAGGACAAAATGCCTGGAGCAGAAATAGAGATGTGTTAATGTGAAGGTCTCTGAGGAAGGGGCATTTTCTCTGGATTCTAAGTGGGAATGAAGTTCACTGAGGGTAAAACAGATGTTCATGGGGGAGACAATAATGTACCAGGAACGTACAATCTTTCTAGAGCAACAGGGAAAGAAGACAATGGAATAGAGATGTGGTAACTGTGGGTGCAGAGGTGGGAAGGGCCCAGGGTACATCAGAGACAAGATTTAGGTTCTTCAGGTGACTTCCTTAATTACTTGGATATTTATAACCAGAACAGTGCTCATTATTATGTCTCAAAGTATTGGCTCTGGTCATTGGAGATGGGGGGAGCATGGATGGAGTTAGAGAATATAATGCTAAGTGAAGTTAGCTGATCCCAAAAAAACAAATGCTGGATGTTTCCCCTGATATAAAAAGTAGGATTCAAGTGGAGTAGGGACGGGGAGCATGAAAGGATTAAATGAACTCTAGTTAAGGCAGAGGGGAAGGAAAGGGAGTGGGCATAGGGTTAGAAATGATGGTGAAATGTGATGGACATCACTATCCAAAGTATGTATGAAAACATGAATTGGTGTGAATATACTTTGTGTATAACCAGAATATGAAAAATTTGTGTTCTATATGTGTTATATGAATTGTAATGCATTCGGCTGTCATACATAAATTTTAAAAAAATAATAAAAATATAGTAGTTTTGGTTAAAAAATAATAATTTAATATATTCACACCAATAAATTTATAATTATAAAATAAAATTTTGTAGGGTATGTACAACACAAAAAGTACATACCACACAAAATACAAACACACACACACACATGCACACACACACATACACACACAGATGAAGTACAAGAAAGAGGATAATCAATTAGTTTTATGAGTTGTAGGTATTACCATATTCCTTTCTAGGTATTTCTTTCTATATGAATTAATTCAGATCAAATAAATAGTTATCAAAGGCCATTATTGAACTGGGTACTTCTCAAGGGGGCACATAAACAAAATGCATT